GGCAGACCCTGTGAACATGAGGGCATGGGAGCGGAGCTGGGCCTTCTGCCAGCATGGCTGCCTACAGGGAGGAATGAGGCGCCAGTGTCTAGCGGGGCTGTTGGGAATGTGAAGAGCTGAGGGCAGGAAGTAGAGACTATAAACTGGTTATGCATGTTACAGTCTTTGAGCAAAGACATTGGAAGTATTTCCTCAACCTCTGAAATGGCTGTGGCACTAGCTATGTGTTTACAAGATTTAGTTGTTGATACACAGACACACAACTTACACACACATACAGAGTGTGTGAGGAACAGGCCATCACTGCAGGGACTACAGACCCATTGTTAGAGAGAGACAGTGTCTTCACTGCAGATGGTCGTGTCTGGTGGCCGAGAACAATGCAAAGGAAACAGTGCACTGTGATAAGTTCTGTCTTTGTAGACATTGGGTGTTGGGGGAGCAGCTGTTACAGACCCCTTGAGCCTACACCTCCCTTTTCAGTCCAGGTTTACATAACCCCTCACCCCAGCCTTGCCTCTGTGACTACTACTGGTTCTGTTCTTTTCTTTTTTGTCAGGTTGTACTAAACTTTCTGAGACTGGCTTGTCCAGGTTTCACACCTTGGGTTTTGACTCTTGTCCCTCCTCCTTTGTACTCAGTAGATATCACCCCTTCTCCTTCCATCCTTGTACATGATCTAGCTGTACTCCAGTGTCCAGCCTGCTGGTCATCTGCACCACCAGGCTCAGCCTTCTTCTCTGCCCACTCCAGCACATCCAGAGAAGGTGACCCAGGGCTGGCAGCCCGGCTTCCCTTTGCTTCCCTTCCCTTCCCTTTTTCCCTTCCCTTCCCTTCTTCCCTTCCCTCCCCTTCCTCCCTTTCCCTCTCCTTCCCTTCCCACTCCACCCTGAGAAGCTGAGTAACGTTGATCCCCCTGCTCAGCCACTCACCTTCCTCTTCTGTGTGACAGAAATAAACAGCAGTGTGCGCAATATGTGATATGACATAACTTTCTGTGTGCCGGGGCAGCTCTCATGGCTTCTCAGACTCACTTACATATGCTGTCTTAGTCATTTTGTGTTGCTAACAACAAATACATCTGGGTATTTAAAAATGAGCAGAACTTTATTTCACATAGGGTGCTATTAGTTCCTACAGGTCCTTCCTCTTTAATCAATCACATGGACAATTCTCAAATTCTGAATTGTGGGGGCTTCTCTCAGATGATAGCAGATGGTAACAATGGCTCCTTCAGAGGTCTATGAGACTATTAAACAACCTTCTGCATCTGAAAACCCAGTTAAAATACAGATCTCAAAAATACACATGTCTTTTACTTTCACTATTAATATAATTACTGTACAGTGTATGAACACCTCATTACTGATGCTACATAACCATTCTAGAATCTTATTATTAATGGGTTATGACCTGTTTGACCTGTCCACTAACTATTTGGGGACATTCTGATAACTTTAATCCCCAGTAATTTTTCTCATTAGAGCACATATTTAGTTACAAGCCTCAAAACTTTGAGAATGTTTTTGATGGGGATTGTCTGGTTTCTCAGATTTTACTTCTGGCAGTATTTAAACACATATCCCTCACAGGGATATCTTTTCAGAGAAAGGAAAAATGGATCATTTTTTTGTCTGCTAATTGAAAATGGTTACCTGGATGAAAGCTAGATATGATTTTGGGGGGAAAGCAAACACACAAACAAATCATGAGTGCTTCATTGATTGAAATATCTCCCTACCAAAGCTCCCATTGGAGGAGCTTGCTAGACCCTTGGTGTTTGATTGGCTGGAATATTTCCATACCAAAACTCTTGACTGGAGGAGCCCGTGAGTACTGCAGTCCCCAGTGGGAAACAACTCTGCTAGACAAGGCAAGACTGCCCAGCGAGGCTCACCACTACTTGTTTCATCTACACGAATTAGTGATTTCATCGCCTCATTTGTGGTGTAATGGGTTGTTATAGAAATAAATAGCTTTATGAGATGCTATCTCTCTATTAGGCAGTATTTTAGTCATTGGGTAACTAAATAAATATACAGAGTTGGCTCTTCCCCAGGGAGCTGGCTCTCTGTCTTCCACCAGAAATTTCTACCTCTGACATCTGAGCAGTGTGTGTGTTGGTGGGGAGGTAAGAACTGTTGTTTAGCCTTTGGAGTGGCTACACAGCTGAGCATTGTCCAGTGGAATGTCCATAGGATGTGCTTTAACGTGGACTTGAGCTGTGCAAATACACCATCTGGCAAAGGGACCTTTGTGGAGAGCAACAATGCCTTCTGTGAGAAAGGCAGAGAATTAAGCAGTTAAAGATCTGAGAACCGTGATGAAGATGGAGAAATATGTTCTATAAATACCCGTGACACTCCTGAAGTCTGTTGGGGTCTTCCCCTTTCTCGCAGAGCTACTGTGAGCATTAGGAAAGTCTGGGTTCGAGAGGAGAGGACAGCTCAGCTTTTGGATTGCTTCCATATCTGCCAAAATTCAGCTGTCCCTGAAAATGTGTTCATGTTTGTCATGTGTTTCATGGACTCTGAGATTTTTTTTGGTATCAGTTTTTAGATGACAGAAAACTGAGATGTTATCAAAATTCATATTCATGGCTTCTGCCGATTTTGGTTCCAACAGGATCATGTGAGTGCAGCAAGTAGAGTTCTGGGACTTCATTGCTTCATTGATACACTAGATAAGGGACTGAAGAGTGATATAGATCATGAGATGAATATGCAGCACAACTCCTTTATATAATTAATTTATGCTACTATATATATTAAGTGCAGAATCCATTATGATGGTGATTCCACTGTGTGTCGATTTATCATTGTGGACCAAGTTTCACATTTCCCTACATCTTCAGACCAGTTTTTGATGCTGATTGCTATTTGTCAGTGATGAAAGCTAACACTTAGGGAGGATACATAATTTCCCTCAAATAGTACAGAAGCTATTTAAGTGTATGGGTTTTGAGTCTACTTCATTTCTTCTAGGTGGTTCTTTCCATACTGTTTCCTTCCATATTGTCTGGCTGCCCAGGAAGCACATTAGAGACGAGCTCAAAACTGTTTGATTTCACTCACTGGTTCGTTTGCTCATCCATCCTTTCATTCCTTTGTCCATCCACTTGTTTTCCTTTAGTCATTTGCCTTTTCAGTTCATAGCTGTATTTTCTATATCTGTTAGGCTCAGAGTGCTTTGTGAGACATGTGGATCGTTTGAACATGAATCCTGTGGTACACTGGAAAGCCAGGTCCCTGGTGTCTCAGAGATGTTAACTGCTTTTTACTAATAGCTGTTCCTGGGGCTTGAACTCATGGCCTAGGCACTGTCCCTGAGCTTTTTCACACAAGGCTAGTACTCTATCACTTTTGCAACAGCTCCACATCTAGCTTTTTGGTAGTTAATTGGAGAGAAGTGTCTCACAAACTTTCCTGCCTGTGCTGGCTTCAGACTGTAATTCTCAGCTCTCAGCTTCTTAAGTAGCTAGGATTACAGGCATGAGCTACTGGCTCTGGGCTCTGGTCGCTCTTCTGAACTTAAGTAGGACTTGATGTAGGTATTCTCATTTGTGTCCCAGCAAATATCTGATTTTTACTTGTATTCACCTCAATTTTAGAGGCTTCTGTTCATATGTATCAAGGTAGAGAAACAAAACATTTCTTGTACATATTTGCTGATTTTAATAATGATCCTGGGATGGCACAGACACTCCCTCTGCTCACACCCCTGTTGGCACCTCTGTACTTGCTAGTGACACTGCAGGAGGGTGCAGGTTGCTACACACACTGCCACTTCTAGTTCTGCGGTGTGAATTCCCTGTAATTGATAATAACTAACTTTCTGCACTTTTATGATCCAGACATGACTGCTAGTGTTTAAATTCGGTAATTATAAGGTCATCACTTCCTAAGTAAATCAGTATTCTCTGTTGTTAGCATATATCAATTACTATACAAGGAAAGTTTATTCTGACATATCCACACCTGCATCAATGCATCCTAATCAAATTCACCCCGTCACTCGGTCCTACCCAACTCCCCCTTAAAAGTTTCAATCAGTTTCATTATTCTATTTGCACACGTGCAAATAAGCCACTTCAACCTTATTGGCCCCTATTAACCCTTATTAGCCATTCCCCTTCCCTCTCACCTCTAGCCCCAAGTAGATCCTGCTTAATTTTTCTGTCATTCATTTTTTAAAGTGTGTATTAATTGTACCAACAGGTTTTATCATAGGATTTTAAACAAACACATGTTATACTCTGACCACAATAACTACAGAAAAAAAGACAGGTAAATCAATTTTAAAAGAAAGTTATGTGCAGACTGGACCTAGGGGCTCATGCCCATTGTCTCACCTACGTAACAGACAGAAATTGGGAGGCTCATAGTTTGGGGATAGCCCAGACAGAATTGTAGTGCAACTCTATGCCAACCAATAGGTAGGCCAGGTGGTATGTGACTCATTTCAACTACATGGTCCACGTTGGCCTGGGCAAGTGTGAGACCCCACTCCCCAAAGACATAACACAATAATGGGCTGGCAGTGGGTGCAAGTGTCAAGAGCATCTGCCCAGCAATTTCAACATCCCAAGTTCAAATCCCAATGCTGCAAAAAAAAACCCTCAAATAAGCAAACAAACAAAAAACAAAAACAACCAGATGGATATTATTGGAACTGTGCTTTCAAGATGTCCTATAGAATTATTTTCTCCTAGATTTTATGTCTCTTTGAATATTGCCATAGTTCTCTGTCTCCATGTATTTCCGCTTCTGTCCCCAAGCTGGTCTAGCATGTGCCACATGCCAGTGCGGTGGCTCCGGGGACACGTGTGTCCAAGTTCATCAATGCCACATGACTGTTGCCTTTCGATTCTTCTACCACATGCAGGGGGTGCACACGAACAGACTTTAATATATTTTTCACCATGCAGGCCCGAGGAGCCGCTCCTCTGTTGGGCTCTGAATGTGTGTGTTCTTACACATTTCTACCTTGTTCCCAAACAGAGCTGTGACCTGGAACAGCAGAGCCTCGTCCACGTTGTGCAGAGACCATGGGGAAAGGGGCAGGGCACGAATGCGACTGGAGGGCATGCACCTGGGAACCCCTGTGCGGGCCCGGACAGGGAGCCCGAGAGCTTGACACGCGTGGACCTCAGTGGCTGCGTCCTGCCTGCGCACTCCGTGGGGCTGGCCGTCATTCTGGACACAGACAGCCGGAGCGACTCCCCAGCAGCCGCAAGGCCCGGTAAGTGCAATGGCCCGCGCGGGGTGCGGTCGCTCATGTAATGAAGTCTCCCTCCGCGGAGACAGGCTCCCTGTGTCCGCACGTGGCTCACGCAAAGCTTCAAACTTAGACGCTTCAAGTCTCTGCAGAGAGACCTGTCCAAGGAGACCACGCGGATGTAAACTGTGACAACAGTCCCGGTCCTCATGGCTTCGAAGAATCAGTTTTCGTAGTAACATTGAACAGAGGGTGGGTAGAGAAGCCATCAGGACCTTAATAACCATCCACAGGGTTTGTTTTTTTCTCTTCTCAGGAGCTGGAGGGCATATGGACACATGATAAGTTGATTATGTAATTAAGGTTTATAGGTGTCACCTTTCTTCTAATTCTTAAGATGTATTTTGTTTGACTGTGTTTTTCATGATGCGAGGAGTGTCGAGAAAGTAGAAGGGTGGTTAAGGACGTTCTTCAGGCATGCGTCGGTCTCAGGCCCCAGCGCGCAATATCAGTGTGGTCTCTTGTGTGAGTTCAGTCTTTCTTCTCTCTGTGCTGCTGCCCATTCCAAGTGCTTTTCCTTGGTTTGTTCTTACAAAAAAAATACCTGAAAGTAGGAATTGAAGGAGGACAGAAATACATTCCTCAGCGGTCCACAGAATCCCCTCACTGGTGGGCGAGAGTTGAGAGTTGGAGGAGAGCCTGTGTTCTGCTTCTGAGATGGAGCTTATTCAAGTGCCCACAGGGGTGGAGGCCGCCCTCTCAAGACGCAGAAGGGCTGGGAAGGCAAAAGGGCCAGATGCTGCATTCAATGTTCCTCAAAAGAATCCTTACACCAAAGACACGTGTTTCCAGGAGGATATATTCTGTTCTTTTAGACATGGAAGGTAGACTGTTCTCTTACTCTACTTACCCTCATGACTCATGAGTTCATCTTTTATAAGACCTCTGAAGGCTTCTCCTTTTCATTGTTACCTTGGCAATAAGTTTCAGCATGATTATTGGATGGGACACACACATTTAAATCACACCAGATGGTCATCTTTTGTTCCTTTGACAAGCTTCTTGGCTTTTCCTTGGTCTTGTATTCTCCCGTGTAAAGATTCAAAGGTTCAATAGGATTCATTTTGTCTCTGTGTGAGAAAATAGCCACTAGCCAACTCTCCAAGACAGTTTAGATCTTCCTCACAGAGTAGGACAAGACATACACTGCTCAGTGTCACTGAGGCCTAGGAGCAACAATGGATAAACTAAATTAATAACAATTCCTTCCTGCTAAAATTACTAAATAAAATCAAATAGATTTAGAAATTTATAGATAAGCTTACAGAAAAAGAAGGATAATTTTCCAGGGCAAGTGAGGCATCAGGGTCTGGTTTCTGGTATCCTTGGGGTAGCAGTAGAGAGGCAAGCCTGTACTTCACATGCAGTGGTAACCAAATGACTGGGGAAAATATCTGAGAAATAGGAAAAAATATCAAAAATGGGATAAAGGAGATGAAAATAAATGAATGTGTTCCAGCAGGGAAGGTGATACTAGCCTGAGACTGATGGCATGGGTGTGTTTAAATCAGTCTTGCAGACATATGCCAGGATGTGGAATTGATGCTCCCGAGGAAGAACAAATCCCACTCAGACCCTGAACTCAGTGCACAGGCTATCCGCCTCAGTGTAGGAGAGAGATGCCACTGCAAAGTTTGCCTCTTTTGCATGAGGAGCTTCATTAGAGCTGATTGAGACACAGTAGGGACGAAGGAAACTCAAAATAGAGTGGACATTTCCGCCTAGAGAGGTGGAAAAAAACCTGAGAGGTTTCCCTCAGTGTGGGAAGCGAGGTCTGAAGCCCTGGATACTCATCACCGGCCCTTGTTCAGTGACATTCCTGAGCTCTTTGCAGTCACACTGCAAAGTAAGTAAGTAGCTTCTAGACACCCTTCCCTTGTATTGAACCAAAGGTAACCTGTGAGCCTGAATTCTAGGCCATCTCCCCTGGTAGCTCCCATATATGTACATGAGATACGTACCTTAATCTGCAGTTGTCCCAGGGTTCCAGTTACAAATTATGAAGAGGAGAGAGAAATTTGTTTTCTAGGCTACAAGTAGAAATAAACATGCATTATAAGCTAAAGGGTTAAAATCTCCCAAGATATGAGAAGATTTAAAAAAAATTCTGAGACAGAATACAAAATAAAGTATACTTTGATGATTTAATATATACAAAGAAAACATCTGAAACCTAAAAAAGAAAATAGACATAATAGAAAAAAGTAGCTATTAAAGAAAACATAATAACTGTTGGAATGAAATTAACAACCTCAATGGATAGTTAGAATAGAAACTGGGCATCGCCCAAGAGAGAACTTGTGAAATAAAACAGACACGCAAGGAGTATGGAGCTTTCAAGATGTTATCCTATTCCTATAGGAGCCCAGAGAGGACAGATACTTTCCCAAAAGAATGGCTGAGCTTCTCCAGTGTGAATGAGTGAATAAAAAGAAAAGATATCAGGACGTATCATACCTTGATGAGCTATACCTTACAGTCTGACAATATGAAGTGCTGGACAATTAGTGTTTTTATAGATGCTGACACCATTCATCCACCATAGATTTAGTAGTTAGTTAGTAAAATCCAAGAGATGCACTTTCTGTAACATCTATCTATCTATCTATTTTTCTATATCATCTATCATCTATCTGTCATCTATCTATCTACTTATCTCTCTGATTATAGAAACAAAACAGCTTTTCTTAGGCAGAATTATCAAGAGATAACTAGTGTTTCTTAATAGACTATGACAAGCCTGATAATTCCTTAGTTAAAGCAAATGAGCAGGATCTACATGTGACAACATTAATAAATCTCCAAACTGCAGTGTTAAAGTTTTTTTTAAAGTTTCTTTATTGCAAATAAACGTTTAGTAAGACATGGTTATATAAAATGTCCAACATCCCACCCTGAACAGTTATACACACTGCTTATTGATGGGACAGCCATTATCTTACATGTTTTATTTTAATAGGATATGGTTGGAAATTGAACATGGTACTAAAATATTAAAATATATACATACAGTTTTAAGATAATTATTGAGCAGGTCACTTGATTATATTTGTGGATCAATAAACTAGCTCTATAATATGGTTTCCAAAATTCTTTTAAAAATTCCTTTCAAAAATTCATGAATATAAATATGAATCTTTATGAATTGAATCTTTATTTACTCCCTCAGCATTAATAATACTAGAGGAATCCTCCTGTGTGCACCTTGACAACCTTAGAATGCATTTTCTACTGTATTTTATTCAACTATGTTGCCATGGATATTTATCTGAAAAATGTTAAGTATAGACTTTATTTTATTATGATGCGGCCTTTACTCTTCTCCAGAATTGTCTGTTATGATTCATAAATTTTGGATTACTGATACTTTTTGGTTGACTTAATCTCAAGATCACACTGTGTTTAGTTAAAAATATGTCCTCTCTCTGGACTTTAAAAATACTTTACTAAAAGCCTAATAGTCTGTTTATATTTTAAATTGAAGTATGTGAATACTTGACCCCAAACAGTGGAATGAGTCATTTCCTGAAAGTGTCTGCAGTGTGTTGAATGGCGCGGCGTTGTCCCATGTGCTCTGTGAAGGGCTGAGTTAAGTCTGTTTCCTAAGTTTTTCTGTTGCATCTCACTTGTGAGTGCTCTGCTTCTCATGCCCCCCTTCTGGTGACTAGTCACTCTCTGGTACGTGCTCTGGGGCTGGTTGTGACACCACTAGCTAGTGTGTGTATGTGTGTGTGTTGGGGGGTGGGAAGCAGGCGTGCTATCTAGCACATTTTTCCTAGCACAGCCCCAGCCCTGGGTACGCTCACCCTGACACCCTGAATGCTCTCACTGAAATGAACTTGTAGATTATATAAGAGAGATTGGCTATCCCAGGTCAACTTTAAGATTTAACTCAGGTTCAACTGAAAGTAGAGTCATTCCATAATCTTTCTTCACATTGGAAAGGTTAACTTCCTTTTCAGAGGCCTTGTATCTTGGTTTTGGTTGTTGGGGGTGGTGTTTTATCTTTTGAAGTACCCTACCTTCTAAATGGAATTTAGGGTATTTTAATTAGGAGACAGAGAGAGAAAAATAGAAACAGACAGAAACAGAGAAAGAGAGAGGAGAGGAAAAAAGGAGAGTCTTTTATTTGCTTCTTTTTATAATAGCTAGCCATTGTTTAGATTAATATCAGCTACCAGACAGCTACCTCTTATTACATTCTATTTTTGTTCTTTACTTCCAATTATAGGATGTATTTAATCCCTCTGAAAGGATTTTTCTTTTTCCAACTAACTGCCATTTCAACCCCAAATCCCTAGAAAAGAAGAGATAAATGTTCACTAAATTACTTGAAATTGTAAAAATACTAAATCATTGGTCACAATTTCTGTGTATATAGCTCATAAAACTAATGTGTTAGTTAAAAGCATACAGAAAAATCAAGTTGTTACTTCTTTCACTATCTTATCTGTTTCCTTGAATAGGATGATTTGGAATGGATGCTTATGTGATTATGCTCCTTTAGTAAAAACAATAGTGTGTTGTTCTTAGAGCCACGACTCACAAACTCAACTGTGCAGACGAATTACCTCACAAAATAAGCTGCTTTGGACAAAAAATTCTTACATTATAAGAAGAGGAAATTCTTTTTGTGTATTCTACAGCCAGGACTTCTGATTCAATTGGCAGGGGGTAGAGATACAGAAATTCTAGTATACTACATTTGAAAAGCACGTGTACCTAGCCAAGCTCAAAGAATGGATTCAGAGGAAAGTAGAGTGAAAGAGAGCTTCTACTGGTGGTTGTGCAGCATGGGAGGTGCAGTGGGCAGGTGTGCCCCAGAGGCCTCCGTGACGCCCCGTCTGCCCTGGGCTTCCTCATGGGTTGTGCAGTCTTCCCACACACTGCCTGAGGGTCAGTATCTCCTCATCTTGCTCCATTCCCACTTGAGGCACAATTACACTACATTTTCCTTTGCTCTT